TAGAGATCGGATCGTCATTGCGCATCTTGGTATCGCAAGTCCCAATTCTCTAAACGTTCAAAGTACAGTGCGATGTTACTGCATTTCACGCTCAAAACATTGCTTGGTTCAGGTCTGTCATTTTTCGCATTCTGTTGCATTTGTGTGGGATGCTGAGATTGTTTCGTTGTACCGAGCCATCGCACAGTCACGTGGGTAGTGTGAACCTTTTATGGTCAATCAATTTAGATGCGCATGGTCAGGTCAGGTCAGGCCAGGTTGCACAGGACGGTAGAGGCTTTTGCCTATTGAGCGTCCAGATTCTTGCTCCAGTCGGAAACACGTCTTCCGGAGCTTCGACTTCTTGTCGACCGTTTGACCACAGCCGATTTCTTCGTTTCGAACTGTCTCCCTTGGCGCGTCCTTACCTGCAATTGGATATCCTTAGGCATGATGGTAACGTGCTTGGCGTGGATTGCGCAAAGGTTGGTGTCTTCGAAAAGGCCAACCAGATAAGCCTCGCTGGCTTCTTGCAGAGCGGACACGGTCGAGCTCTGGAAGCGCAGGTCAGCCTTGAATTCCTGAGCGATCTCACGGACGAGACGTTGGAAAGGCAGTTTGCGAATCAACAATTCCGTGCTTTTCTGGTAGTGACGGATTTTACGGAGCGCGACAGTCCCGGGCCTGTAGCGATGCGGTTTCTTCACACCACCAGTGGCGGGGGCGCTTTTGCGAGCATGGGGTGGATCTGATTTTACATTACCAAAGCGTCTTGATAACCTTTGTCCATTCTGCAATCAGCCTCCATTGTAGCAATGATAAACCGTTTTAGTGTACAAAGAATAGCAGGTTGAAGAACGTGTGCGGATACATGGGGGAATTGATATGGCACTATTTGGATGGATGACAATTGTAGATGGTTTGATTATTAGAATCATACATTCCCAAAACATTTTGCAACCTCCTGGAATACTTTCGGCAAATATATAGCTCCTAAATCATGTTTATATGTTTTTGGTATCATACGTTTAATAATATACGACTATTATCTGTTTTTACGCATCTCATTAGAGGAGGAGGTGATCTCAGTTTACACTACTTATGAGTAGTTACTGTATTTTCGTGAAAATTGCTCACCCGTCCTTTCCCAACGTATAAAACATGAATACCGTGCCTTTTTCGTTTTCGTCCAATAAATTCTCTTCGACATTGTCCCTTCTCAATTCCTTAAACATTTCCGGGGATTGATCACAATTTAGTCGAAAACTTCCATTAGCCCTCCATGAAGATCTTAAGGCGGGAACTGCGAAAAAGTTAGGTATTCATATCACTATTTCATCATGTGCTTAGATGTCCATTTGATAGCCCTGTCCTCACCATAGAATCACCCGATTTCATATCTATACTGAGGGTACAGTTGTCTCCAGAGTCTTCCGATTCACAGTGGAGTTGCCAGTCAGATTGTCTACAAGCACGACAGACTACACTCGGTTGTGGTCCATGATAATGAGTGTGACGTGAAACATTGTCGTCATCACTGAGAACATGAAATCCATGTTGGGTGTGCATTGTCAGTAATTGATTTTGTAGCATGTCAATGAAGAATGACAGATGAAAGGTGCAAAATGAAACAAGAAGTAGCACTCCTCTCGCAAAACACATCAATTGCGCTGCTTCCAGCGATAGCCTACCAGTTGATGTGCCCAAGAAAACCATTTAGGGTTACAAAAATTAGATAAAAAAGTTGAAGGACAGAAATTCTTATCTAAACATGATCAGTTTTCTGACATAAATTGACCAAAACCATTTTAGATGAAGCAGCTATTGCAGATTGGTGAACAGAGCACTTGGGGGATTACGTGCACCATGTTTGAAGATTCCCTGTTGGTTGCTATCAGTTGGCGAGGCGTGAATCTTAAGGTACACCTCCTGATCGACACTCCCATCCCTCGGTCAGCTTTGATATTTCCTTGTTTAGCGGAATATTTTTGCACAAAAATGTTTCCCGTGAAAAATATAATCGACAAATTAAAGTTCTGGATGTGGTAACGTTATAAATAAATAAGTTAATTTGTTTAAAATTTCACTAGTTTTCGTGCGCTCACCCTTCCCGGCTGTGTGTTGAGTTTTGTAAGATTGGAAGGTGTTGCCGAAGAAGCATTTGCTGTCTCACAGCGAATTTTCGAGAAATGGTGAAGACACTGGGCGGATTCCTTTTAATATGCTCTCTGTGTAAGAAAACGGTGTCTGTTCGAAAAACGCTTTTTTTGAGGAATTCAAAATATCGCAGCCTCTTCTGGTGTAGCTAATAGCGTATTTTGAAGCTAGTTTTCGGCTTCTTTGCGCAAACTAGGCGGGACAGGTTGAATGAAGTTCATCACAAATGTCGCTTTCACTTGTCACTCTCAAATGTCGAGATGAATACTGAAACATTTTTCAAGCACATAGGTGGGAGATATCACATTGATTGAAGTTATTTTTTCATTACAATACATAATTATATCCACTTTCTAGTCTTTGGATTACGATTTTATATACGAGCGCTTTCATGCTACTGGTGAGTAGTGAGCATATAATTACGATTTTGGGCCGGAGGGAGGAGACTGCCGCTCAGATCTACCAATGGTAAATTGGCATCGGTAGATACAAAAATATACCAATTGATTATTTTACATTTAATTATATAGCTCAAACAGGTGTCACTTGAACAAAGAAGTATCCCGATATAAATACACAGAGGTTGAGGCATAGAGCACGACTGAACTGTCGATATGATTACCAAACAAACCACTAATAGGCAAGCATTGTTCCGTATGGAGCAACGTCGTTTATTGTTACACGTCAAGTCTACCAAAGTGACGAAATATGTTTTCATTGTTACTTTGCAGATCACGACAGATAAAAAAACCCATCACCGTCAGACGATTTTGCTTACGTGGTTTGCAACCGTCAGAGGAAATAAATTATTCGTAAACATCTCGTTTTATGTGTTCAGTTGTTCGCCGAGCTTGGCAATTGTATTGCAAACGTTTCATCACCAATCGAGGTGACATTCGCAATGCAGTAACCGGGTGACCCAGTTACTGTCAGTATATCAGACTATTCACAGTGGAAAATCGTTCTGTGTTTCCCTTTTTCGCTGTATGCACTGAAGTATGATGGTATTAACTTCAATTGTGAACTCTACCTTGAATCGCAATATTGCCCTAGTTGAAATGGCGTTTTAATTTTCCTTTTCCGAAAAAAAAATCGACCTACATTGTGACACAACTCTGTGGTATTCTTCACACGCTTTCTCAATCGACTGTTTTCTGACAGTAATATGACTTATGAGCAGACGGCTGCCAGTTGAGTTACGGAATCCTTGGAGATGGGGACAAACTACTGTAAGGCAATCGTGTAACGACGGCTAAAACTGACTGGAGCCCAGTAATCCGTGTTGATACTAGTCAGCTGTTGCTTGAGCATAGTCTCGTTTGACGATTCCGGTCGATCAGTCAGCTCCAATCAGGGGTAGAGAATCATGAGATAGAGTTCAATGCAAAACGTTCGACAGTGTTAGCCACCAGAGTGAGACTATTTCACGACTTTCCACTTTCCGGGGAATTAGATGGAAGATTTACGTGTAAAAGAGTTAATGTGCGATTTCTCTAGAAGTGTAAAATTTTTATTTAACCGCCACGTTTTGCGTTGCTAAGTATTTGTCAGGTTTGAGTGCAGTACGATGAGCGCGATATCAAGTTATTGATTTTTTATCATTGGCTTATCCTCTCAAATCAGCTTGTGTAGCTAGTGTTACTAACGTTTTAATTATTTTGATGGAGTTGGACATGTTCTACAAAGCTTTGTTTCAAGGTATTTATCTGTCTCATCAAATAACCACGGCATTCACTAGTGAACTGGAAAACAAAGTACATTTCTGGAAACATTTCGAGAGAGCTACTATTTAAGTTTTCTTCTGAAAATCTCAAAAATAAAAAAATGATGATGTGGTTTTCGCAGTTGTCAGGATCTTCTTACTTAAGCAATCCTTTGTTATGGTTCTTAGGTGCTGTGAATAAACTTGCAAATGATACAGGAACATCATTCGCAAGTTTCTTTACAGAACTTAGGAACCATACCAAAGGAGTAGGTAAGAAAATCCTGACAACCGCAACCAAGATTATGAAGCAGGAGTTGTACAAGCAATGTAATCTGGTTTCAAACGTTATTGTTACCATGGCAATAGAATGGATTGCCCTATATTCCTATGTGACATCTTTTCCATCACCCCTTCGTCATGTATTGCCTTTTTCTCACACCTTCACACTTGTCGCATTTATTCCCAAATAATTCCTTTTGTATCGTGTCCACTTCATATTTTTTTACCTTGCTTTTCCCTATCCATTTATCGCGACCCCATATCTTGCTGTCAACTGAACGCTCCGCACAAACACATGATTAATGGTTGTACAAACTGAAGCCGAAACACATTCATTCAATAACAGCTAAGGCCTCGTATTAATCTATCGACTAATCAAACTGTATATGTTAATACCCGAAACCATATAGTGAAAAGCAATTTCTTCGCGTTTCCGCATTGTTCTTATACATCAATGGGGATATTTTACGAGAATGACGATAGTTCATTGTTCGACTGATTTATTATTTTTTCACTCACAGTTCAAAATGCTCAAAACACCAATCAATTGCGAACTTGTCAGTCATCCTTGAACAAACAAGCAAGGTTTTCTGATTGGTCAGCTCCTGTCCGTTTTCTATTGGCTGAAATCCGAGACAAATGTGAAATGCAAACTAGTGTCCCTTTCGTAGATAGATGTTACCGAGTGAAATGCGGTTCTGGTTTGTGTTCTTGCAAATTGCTTTAGTTGTTGCCAAGATTGGTGAGTTCTGACGGTATTCATTTTTCGAGGGTTTTTGTGATATAGATATTGCTATTCACCTGAGTTGGTTATACGGTCGATGACAATGAAATCGATACCCGCGATTCTGTGTATGCAAGGAAGAAGTATTAATACAAAGATATCTGTCTGAATATACCATCAATACTCATTGTGAGAAAACACAAAGTAGCGAACAAGCTCGNTAATAGACATTGTTGCATTTTTCATATTCAACCTCTATGGTCCAATCACATTTATTTAACCTTAGATATAAACACACACACAACTGTAAAGGCCTGAGGACGAAGTCACGAAACCAAGCTTGTTTGCTATATTGTTTGACTTCAGATTTGTCTCGTGGCTCTCGTTAGAAGCCATGGAAACCGAAGATGATGATCATTAGATAGTACAGTCCCATAGGGGTGTGTATACCGTCTTATTCACTAGCAATAAATGGAATCCAATTCCTGACACTGTTCAGATACCTGACAGAGAGAGTGGAACGCTTCGAGTAAAATCCGCTACCTCCGCTCAAGCCGCAAAGTATAATTCTTCCTGCACATCTTAATGGACTGTAAACCGGGTTATACTATACTCTGTTCATTCACAAATAAACCGAAGTGTTAGCTAACACAGAAACTCACTCCCCGCGTAGACAGATTAAAAACTAGCCAGTCGGTTTTCCTTTTCTCCCTCTGATCCGAGTTTGTTCTTGATCTTACTCCTTGTCTACCTGTACTTGTCACATACAGACCTATTCGCAGCATTAAATTTTGTGAAATATAATAGAGATAACATGTAACAGCCGTTCCACGGGACACCGGAAGATCATTGCCTCAGGACAATGAACCTAGCACCTTAGGGCAGTTAGCATATCGCCGAAGAGGTCACAAAATCCATCACACATAGCCAAGTTTGGTGATAAAGTGATATACTACCGTTTCTCTCTCTCGCTCTCTCTCTCGCCCTTCAACGTTCTCACTATTTCCGTACTCGAGGAAGGCAAAAAAAATGGGGAAGACAAACACTGCTGAACCATATCCGCCTTGCTCACCTCGTCAATCACCGCGACCAGGAGGAACATGAGCACAGCTGTTAGTGCCATGGCAACCGGGACCACGATCAGCATGGTATAGGGGTCGAGGAATTGAATATAGATGGCAATATATGGAATGCCCAAGGTGAGCATGAGTTGAGTGAGCACGAGGAGATGTCTAAATTGAAAAAAAAGAACGGAACACTGAATGAAGTACTTTGAAGAAATCGATAATACCATATCGATCTGGACAGTGAGTGGAATTGCAGAATGAGTTAATTAATTAAAACTTTGATCGGCGTTTACTAGTACGGACCCAGTAGTTGTGCTTTAATGTTTGACACAAATCTCAAACGCTTTCCACAAAAGATAACCAAGTGTTGCGAAATTCACTTGAATGTTTGCTCGGTATCCTAGATGTAAAGGCAGATACAACGTGTCAACTGAACTAAATCATTGATGAACAAAGATGTCAGAACTCACCTCAATAACTAGTTTAGACATTTGCTCTCAATTATCCTACGGGGGCTGGATCGATTTATTCTAAAGAATGAATACCCTTCGGTGAATCGATACACAGTTTCGCACGATTGGATGTCGCATGGGCTTCAAAATCCTCGTGTGTGTGTGTGTGTGTGTGTGTGTGTGTGTGTGTGTGTGTGATTTCCTTCTCTCTCTCTGTCAAGGGTCTGCCAAAGACACAGTAAGTGAATGAGTATGAGATGAACAAGCTGATCGAAAACCATGTTATGGACAATTGTTTTCGTGGAGTTTACGGATCGATAGAAAGATGAGCGTATCCGTGTTCCAACCACACACAGGTAGAGGCGTGAGAACACCATCGTTCGACAACCCCCCCCCTCCCGTCCGGCCTGTTGTTGTTGTTGTTGATAGAATCCACCATGAATAAAGTCCGACTGTTCATTTTTGCGACATGTAAAAAAATGTTTGAACGATTGGAACGGCCTGGCACAGTGTTTTGAACGTATGTACCTGCCGGTGATGATTCCTAATGAGCACAACTACTCCTGTATAGGCCGAGTTCACGCCTTATAGTAGCTCGAAATGAAGAAGTAATTTAATGTTCCCACCAAGCTTGTCTATGGTATCCATGCCGTACGTGTGGTAACGGAGCTCTGAGCTAAGGATGAAAATAACCTACCGGAATCGCTTCAGGTTACCCGCCATCGCTACTTTTGATGACCATATCGATTTTTTATCATGTCTTCGGTCCGTCACATTATCTTGACCTTACACTCAGATCGGCGGAACTATTGATTAGATTGACCACAGCATTGATCCGTACCTTCGATTGTGCGATCACTTGCTGTTTGGATTGTTCTTTTTTAATTTTCTCATCAAGTGTTTAATCTACCGGCTTTTCTGTGACTTGTACATGGATAAAGAATGTTTGAACTGGATCTAAATAATTGAAAACTTTCCACTCTGAGTGTGTGCCAGGCTTTCCATTCAGTTTAGGACTTGAGTAGCACTCAGCTACTTCGTGATGTTATACAGTTGAGTTAAAGCTATTTTGTTGTGTCTGAATGCGTTTTGATACAGACAAGCACTCGACATCCCCCAACCTAGAGTTTCAACGCCCGCCTTCATTTCAAAGGAATATCCGACTTTCGGGGTTTTACATATGATTTGAACTAACTAACTGAACTGTAACCTTGTTCCTGAGGATCTACATCTTCTTCGGATGAATACAAACGCAGTGCTACATCAATATACTCAAGAAGAAAGAAGACAGATACATCCTCAATGTATTTGCTCGCAATAGCTACAACAGCATCTTCATCAAAAGAACTCTAACCCAAAGAAAGAAAGAAACAACAGACGGAGAATCGGGAACAAGAACAACCCTGCCATAGATTAAGGCAATTTCAGAAACGACAGCTCATAAACCGACCGCCTGTCTAAAGAGACTTCTGTCAAAATCAAAGTAGAGAACAATGGAGAATGACAAGAGCAGTATTATCTACAAAATAAATTGCAAGAACTGCCCAAAACGCTATATCGGACAAAATGGAAGAAAATTGTTAACAGGGATCCGTAAACACCAATCGGTAGTCAGGAGACATCACCCACCATAGTTGATTTCCCTCCACGAAGATCAAGAAGGATAGCAGTTTGACTTTGAAACAGTGAAAATTATCGACGAAGCCCGGTCAAAACACACTAGAGAATTTCTCGAGGCTTGGTACATCTTAAACAACTCAAACTTAAACAATTGGAACTGGATCACGTGTACATATCAATGCAACTCAAGGATTGAGTGACGCAAGAAGAAGGGTCACGCTGTGACCTGAAAGCGGACCAAAATCGCAAGCAGGACGAAAGGACAATCGACCCTCACCTCTCGCAGCAGTTTAACGGCTAACCGAGTCGAACACAGTGAGAACAAGGGACAAAAATGGTCGATGAAGAGGAACACAGATAAACGAACAGGTACAATCAGAACACTGCCACTTCACAAGCACTGATGATATCATCTCGGTTGGTGATGAAACGTTTGCAAACAAATTTCAAACCCGACGAACAGGCAACATGGAATCTGTTGAAAATCTCAGCTAGAAAGATTTCCGAATGGAAGTGCAAAGTAATATCACCAATTTTCCCGGTAATCACTTCTTTTGCACCAATTTTAGCAAATGTTTTACGCGCTCTTTGTATCTCTCGATTTTTCGGAACAAAATGATGTAACCATTGTAAAAGCATGTTTCGGTTGGGGCATTATTTATTCATTTATGCATTTATGCACCAAAATTAGATCGCTTTTTACTATCCAAAGTCCACTTTTTCACTCCGCAGTTGGGTTGATGAATCCGTTAAATCCGGGAGACACGCAACAAAGTCTGAAAACGTTTTACAGTGCTTTCGATCAATACGGTTCCCGGTTCCCCTTAATCTGTGTTCGACAAAATTTTTGTTGAACCATTTTGTGGTACTACAACGTTTACAGTTTGGCAGAATTCAAAGTTGGTTTCTTCTGGAGCAATATACGGGGCACTTTGACTCATAGATGTCAAACTTAGATACCGCATTGAGTGCATGGGAATGGGGATCGGTTGGCGGGGGAGGGAGAAATTAGTTAACTCAGAAAGCCAAGAGGATTGTGCCTTTATTCCTAACCTACTCGAAAATCCGATGTGCAGTTTTGTGACAGCTGTTTAGACCACCTACACACTGAACCCTAAATAGTCGCTTTTAGTTTGTCGAAATTCGTGATTGACGTACATATTTCGAATGCACAACAACAACGGACAACTATTTTGAATCCATTAACATTCACTTGTGTGTGTGTGCGTGTGGAAAACTCATTCGTTTGCATGGCTCTCTGTCTCTCTGACTGTGCGATGGCAACACTTGATGCACCAAGGCATGTCCGCACGTGCGCAATCCCAAAGAAGCACACTTCACATTTCAGCTTGATCTAACTGACCAATCTGGTTGCACAACGCAATTGCCTGGTATTGATTGGACGTCTGATGATGACCTGCACGTGACCCCTGTGGACATGAGTCGATTTTTACACAAGATTAGTGGAGGGTTTAATTTGGTAGTACCATGCTGAGCCGAGCGAGGTGGCATGCTGGCAACAGACTGACAAAGACTGGTTGTACTATATAGAGTATAGACAACTTGGAGAAAATGGTTTGGTCAAGTGGGTAGTATGCTTGCATTCTGCCTATGCTAAGGTTCGAGGTTAGACCATTCCCCCAGTTAGGTCGATGGATTCGCGCACTCCACGGATGAGGGACCCAACCAGGTGAAAATAGTGATCCAGTGTCTCTTAGCTTTTCATTTCATGCTTCGTTTGCTCTGTACAAAGCACATGAGACACTCTGATCCGATTCCGTGCGCCCAATTAGAGAATTTACATTCATCGCTTTATTGAACACGAAAAGCTATAGCATTCGAGAGAGCAATGATGATGAGTAGGGTGAGCAGTGTGCCTCCAAGAATAGCCTGTGTAGTGATCAACTACGGAGCGTATTCGCTTTCTCTCAGTGAGTTGGATCCCCTGTGCAAATCCAATCAGGGATCTGTCAGCTGATTTTGTCCAAAAAGATGGAATTGATTGTGTAAGTGGTTGTTTTGGCAGATTTGAAGTTGCTATGTTGATTGTGAAAAGTTCAGTAGCCTCGGTGGGATTAGAAGCCACGCATGGACACCGCCTACGCTTTGTACGTGTACGCTCTACCAGCTGAGCTACGAGGTCACACCGATTGTACTGATCTTTTCATATTCGAATTACCCGTCCAACTTACTGAGGCATATGGCATATGGCGTAGAAAGCGTAGGCGGCGTCCATGCGTGGGTTTGAATCCGACCGAGGCTACTGAACTTTTCACAATCGACATATGAATTTCAATTCTGCCAAACAACCATTTACGCAATGAAACTTGTCTTAGAAGCTCATTCGGAGGACTCCGGTGAATTCTAGGAAAACCTGTCGGGGCAGTCAGCCAACATGCTAATTGATGGATGCCACATTCCTCTAAAAGTTGGACGGGGAATTGATTGTATTCCGAGAAGTAATTTGTTCGTGATATATTATGACGTTGGATACAGGCACCAAATTACTTCGCTGGAGATCTGACTCTCAACGTAGGAACGGAGGAAGCAAGGAAGGGCGAAGGCATGAGTGTGTTTATGTGTGTGTGTGTGTGTGTGTGTGTGTGTGTGTGTGTGTGCGTGCGTGCGTTTAAGTCCACTCGTATCCAAATAGCGTACTGCGTGTGTCCAGATTTAGTGAATAATCTTCGGTATGTTTTCGTTGTGGGTCGGATTTGGGGAGAAAAGTTTCTCCCAATTCCGAATAGCGAACGTCTATGACATCTAATGCAGAATACTTTTGATCGCATCAACATCTTTGCTCAAAATGATACAACGGAAAAAGTGATTTGTAACAGATTATTTACACTGTCCATTACGATTGTGGTTACTAAACAGAGAAGCATCCGTGTGTGGCAACTTGAATAGAATAAGCTAAACTGTTGTTTTTATGAAAAAAAAACACCAATTTTGGAGATTCATCTTCGAAGATTCCTTTCCCGGTGGATCGCGGTTTACCCATTTCGGTCCAGTCAATCTTCAACGTGGTGCACACCAGGTGAAGTGCCGACGGATTTGAGTGACCAGTACTTCGGTTGTTAAAATCCATAGCCAGAGGCCTTAGATTAGTAGCAGAGAACCAGGTCACTCCATAATACGCTTACAGTTGGCTCCAAGTGACGAGTGAGTTGAGAGAGACGATAGTCAGGTTCGAACCTTACACACTGGGCAAAGATATGAGCCAATAATGTTGTTATTCGGGATAGCAGTCACAAGGACAACCACAAACCTGACAACACTCACACACTTGCCTGTGCTTCGAACATCTTACTGTGTAGTCATGTGGGGTGGTTTAATTTTGTGGCTGATACAAAAGGGTAAAATAAATGTCTTCCCAACACACACACTCACACACACACACACACACACACACAAGAAAGAGAAATCTATGGGAATAAGACTAATGGTATGTCATCTGAGAAAGAAAGTGAACTACAGAATTTACGATTTGAATGGCAGTATATTTTGATATGATAATACGTGAAAGATTGTCGAGTTAGATCAATATGTTCAAGTCTTATTTCCACATTTTCTCCACAGACGTACCGGCGTACAAATGTAAGTTTTCTCAAATTCGACGACTGATTATTACCCGTTCGAAATCATGTTACCCTAGGCGTATTTTGTGAGTTTGTGATGCAACTGTTCACAGCAATGCCCAGTCACTCGGACCAACTGATCATGTAGAGTAGAACACGTTTCTGGAAGAGACCTGCTGTGACGAATTCTATTTTCACGAGAAAGTAACGTTTTATAACGGTCATAAAACCTGTATTTGGAAAAGAAAAAATTGAATCAAGTTCATAATATTCATTCACATGTTAGAAAACTTTGCATAGTGCTTTTCAAATTCATTTTCTGCGTAGAGGAAATCCATTATCATAAACAAAATTTTCCAGATATTTGAGACTTAAGGATGTTCTGACTTATGGATTCTCGTGATATTCTTGAGTTCCTTTTGATGCTCGACTGACACATAACTCACAGCTTCGGAAAGCCTCAGTAGTCTGGGGTGAGTGTCTTGGATTGTGGCTGATCGCCATTCCATTACACCTCACGGAATGTTCCTATACGACCAAGTGTCTCGACTAGCCTCTGTTGAGGAATCCCCACTCACTGCCTTCCCGTGACGGAAGTGTTTTACTACCAAAGTGTAAGAACGAAAAATCGACTTACGGGGGCAATAACCGGGTTGTAAAACCACTGGCAGTTCATCTAGAGGAGTTGGCTAAAAACCCTGATTTCAGACCAACCAAGAAGAGGTGTACGAATCTCACTCACCCACACCCTTCTCGGTGTGGCAGTGGTCACTGGTCGGTTCAAAGAAATTAGGATCCATTGAACTAGACACCGGCCCCCAATGGATTCTCACACACCTTTCCGCTGTCATGCCGATCAGACTTTGGCTAGCCGAAAATTCCGGTTGCCAACCGTCTAAGAAAATTCACCTGTGCAACCTGGCAGTATTCTGCCTATATGCAAATCATGCTACTTCTTTTCATTTTTTATAGTTTAATTCGTTTGACAGGTATGAAGTATGATATAAATATAAATCACGTTGAGAACGACTCCAGGACCATGATGTTCTTTGTGAAGAATGTCTCAGATCGGTAGCATTTTTTTATTGCACACCCTTGTGTGATGAACAACAGGCGGGGCGAATCCCATAGCCACGATGACCTGCTGTTTGGAAATAGAAAACGACAACCTTGGTCCCGACGGTTAGGAGTAGTGGACTACATACAGGCCTCGCTAGTTTAAGCGTGACACTGAACCAGACGATAGTAGAGTTGTCTGCCTACGAAGAAAGTTGACACTGACCTGCAGTGGGCAGTTTGCATATGACCATCACATGTGCTGTTCGTTGAACATTTACAGAATCAACGCCTACTTTCATGTAACAAATAGTTTGGAACGTTTAAAACCAGTGCATAACTCTGGAGGCTAGCCAGCTATTGCGGAGACGCGCGCGATGTGGCACCTGTATTTAACTTGCAGAGATGAGTTACGCTGCAAAACGGCATCGTAAAAATCAAAACGGTTTGGTAAGGTGCACAATAATAATATGGGTAGTATGATTAAGTCCCAACTGTGTTGGAGTCTCCGTTTCAACGCTGGGTTGATGGGTTCGTACTGGTGGTGAAATACAATCAATTTGAAAAAACAGCGCAGCACTTTTGTAGAAACCTTGATAGGTACGGATCACAATTAAAATTAAAACATAGAATCGTAGTAGCAATCGTTCGCTGGAATCTCCCATCTGCGAAATGCAGGAAAAAAGTCATAGCGGTAGCGATTCGTTTATTGAAAGAAATCAACGGGATCGAATAAAATGCAAATAAAAATATCATTGGTCAAACGAATATAAACCGATCACCGTCCTCGGTCTACGAGTCATACGGCTTCTGTTTGAACCATATGGCTGTTGATTGATCGATACTGGTGGCGCATGCCCCAATGTCCAGAAACTGGAACGTTTGGGCGCTTGGCCGGCGTCATCTCGGGGGGTTGACTCACCACATCGTCTCAGCTTTTCAGTTCACGCTTCCTTTGCTTTGAACACGATGACCATGTTGCTCTATGCAATAACACCGAGAGGGCGTACGCACGTCCGATAGGCGTAGCACGAAAACGGTTGATCGTACCAGGCCCATTCAATCAGCTTAATTCTGCCCACCATTAATTAATAACTGAAAAAGCACGATCCTGATGTCAGCATGTGTGCGAAACTATTATACAGTACTACTTCTGATATTCGTATTTATAAATGAGAAACGGAGATATTGCTAATCTGATGGGATTGCGCAGATAACTTCATTGACCGAAGAAGTTCAACTCTCATTCAGGTCGGTAGCAAAACACTTGGAATTGGTTTGCTTGACGGTGTATATAAACGTTGGAAGTTATGAACAGAGCATATCCACCGATTGTATTGGAACTTCACGTTGCGAACTAGGCATTTTTCATCCGACGCGCCGAGAACTGCGGCTGCATAGAATGCCTCTCAGCAGCGTGCCACACGTGGACAGTGACACTGAATCCAAGACGGTAAAATATAATCGGGACAAAAGACAAAAACTGACAATCTCGAAAGATGACACGAATTAGTGAATCAGATCTGCCCCGGTGTAGGCTGGTTGGCTCACTGGTAACACACACGAGCACAAAATCCACGCAGTGGGTTGAAAGTTCAAAACCAGGATGGAGCAGTGTAAATGCACTACTGATGAATGCAACTTGATTCTAGTGTTTCCGTAGCTTACGGATGTTCCATAGAATGCTTTGTCCGGTTTAACAAACAGCGAAATAGAACTCCTCACAGGAAACATAATTCTTGACTTAGAATATACCAATGAAATCGCCTTATTGGGTGACAATACATAGGTAATGCAACAAGTTTTGAACGGCTTGGCGATCGAGGTATCCAGGTATAGTATGTGCTTTATCTCATCAAAGTGCAAAGTGCTTGTGCAAGACCGGTAGAAGCCTGTGCCTGCACTCACCCTGCGCGATGTTCAGCTAGAAACGGTTGAGAACTATAAGCACCTCGGGAATCTGATCGCAGGTGGTGTTGGTGTTGAGGCAGGGGGGTTACATCACGGATAGCGAGGGCTAGAGCAGATTTTGCAAACCAGAAACACTCGGGCGCGGACATGACATCCAACTTTCCCTTAAGGGGAACGTATACACATCGCGACAGTTGTTAGTGTTGTGCGTTACGGTTGCGAGACCTGAACCCTCTGCGTTGAGGATGCTAATCGACTTTCTGTATTGAACGATCGATGTTTCCAAAGTATTGCCTATGTCGTGTGAGAAATGACGAGATTTGTAGTCATGGTAGACAGCTTTGCTGTCGTCCGGTTCAATACCACACCTAACCTTATGTGATTCGCCACTCCAAGTCCCGGGGCTTAGGTTACCGATTTCCACCACTGAACAGCAGGTCCTCGTGACTATGAGGTTCACCCCGTTTGCTATTCATCACACAAAATGTATGTAATAAAAATAAATCAATAAAAAAATAAGTGTGTTGTGTGCGTATAATAGATCTTTAACAGAAGTAATCGCTGTAAACCACCTCGGATGGCTTGGTCACGTATTGCATATACTTGCTGGCCGTCTACCTTTCCACGCCCTCTTTATACGTGCTGGGCAAGGGTA